TAAATTATTAGAAAGTATTCATAATAACTATTGTGAACATTTCATGCAATAAAATTGAAAATATTTCCTTATCTTTATATTTGTATTTAATGGTGATTCTTTCAACCAGTGGTACAGAATCTACCCGCGTGCGCGGCCGGTCGGTCGGGGAAAATTCTGGAAATTTATTAGCACTTGGGGAAATTTTTTGAAAATTGTTACATCTGGAGAAGACTTTTGGAAAACTATTGAATCTGGTCAAGTTTCCGAGAGCCGTTACATATAAGAGAATTCTCCGAGAGATTTCCCCAGTCGGGGAAAATTTCCCTTTTTGCGGCAGATTCTGCACCTCTGCTTTCAACTCTAAGTAACTTCAGTGGAAAACATTCGCGAGTTTGTTTCAAGAATTAGAGTATGGGAATGCGAATGAGATAATCAGCCACTGTAAGTTGTTTTGCTGAATTGTAATCGATTCCAAATTCCAGTAGGTTACGAAATATTATTCTTTAAGACTGTAGACGAATCATCCACAATTTTACAGGTAATTTTAGATTGATTTATCAATTCCTACATATCGTATATTGGTTTCAACTTGTTGTCATCTTGACACTTGGTAAATAAATTATAAGAAAAATTTATTTATATATGAGTAAAAATTTTCTATATTACAAATTAAAACTTTTAGGGTGTGGGGTGTGGGTGCGGGTGTGATTGTTACTCTTGTTATCACCTACACCCACACCCACACCCACAAATGTGATCTGGTCGGTTCCCATTCGCTACCAAGAGCCTAGATTGCAAGCGGAAATCACGAGATTTTTCCACAAACTTTCCACCCGTTTTCGCTAGAATATGACAGGAAAGGCGGTGGAGAAATCCGATAATTTTGAGTCTGGAATACTGCTTCCATGAAATTTCCGGAATAGCCTAGAACCAGCCATTCCCGTGCTGCATTGTTCGACATGGAATGCAACAAGTCTAACTTTTCTACTTGAGAGGAACTGATCAGGACTAAAATTAAAATGTGCACCGTTGTATCTTTGAAAGAAATAATGAGCAGAAAGGTAGGTCGAAGTTTCAACTTGAATCATGGAATTAGTGTTGGTACCAAACTCAGACTTAAACTAATTCAATCAGATCCCTGTCTGACTAACATCTATTCACGATGACAACATTTATATAAGTTTATCTGTTACGTTCGAGCTCGTCTCAAGTATGAAATTAATCAAAATAAACCTTTCAAATTGCTACTTGAAGAGAAATACAAATATAGTGGCATGTAAGAGCATTTTAATTTTCATCTGCACAATAAAATTATCTCAAAAAATTTATATTGTTTAAATAATATTTTTCATAGTTCCTGTTTTTTTTATTTTATTTGGTAGGAAGAAAATGCATGCTTACATGAACATCGAAGTTTTTTCTATGAAAATTAGTGCTATTGAAAAATGAAAATTAAACATGGTTTACCTAAATTGACTTTTTTCATATTTATTTATTCTTGTTCAATATTGAAACGTTTAGAAACTGCATTAAATGAATAGATTATCATACTCCAGAAAAAAAGGTAAATACAAGTTTCAAGTATACAATTAAGTAAAACTAAGAAATAGAAAAAATGAATACAATTAAAATAAACTTGAAATCAAGCGTGTGGGTGTGAGTATGTGAGTTTTGTTCACCGGGACCCACGTCCACCCGCACACCCACATCCACACTCCATACCCACGCCCTCACCCCAACCTACATCCACACCCACACACGACACACACGAACACGATTAAGAATGAAAGATGTTGATCGACTATCATCAACCATATAACTTGGTCAATAAAATTTTTTCGAGTCCATCAATCAAAAAAAGTCTACTTTATCAAGAATCTTGAGCAAGCACAGAAGGAGACACATTATGAAATATATCATTTGTCACGTCCACATTGCATAGTAAAGTAGTAATAGAATATTGTGGAGAGTATTCAGTGAAAAATATTTTAGTTAAAACATGTCCTCGATTAAGTATATGCAAAAAGATAAATAGTCAAAATACTGAGAGTACAATTTTGTTTTCTGTGCCATTCGATACTTTTTTTCACTATACAAGTTAAAAATCCTACGAATTTTCCATTTCGATGAATATCTCCAAATACTTTGTCACTTTTTAGATATTATCTTATATGAAATTCGTTTTTAAAAACCATAATTGATGACAGATGCAGCAGATGTCAGTTCAAGTGAGAGATAAAGGTTGTCACAAAAAGCAATTGGAATATCACTATTAAGAATGTTTTTTATATTAGTTACATTGGTATTAAATTGAATCATGAACATTGCTTGTGTAGCAGTTGTATTGAATAGTCTATCAGCAAATAAAAATGTCGATTTTATACCCATCTCTAACAAAGAAAATAGAAAATGATCAATACTCATGTTGTCTTCATTACATCTTGGACATCAATGTACAGTTCATTTCGAAAACGAAATACTACCAAAACTATCTTATTCATGATTAACGGACTTGTTAAATCAAAATCAGTTAACTATCTACGATGACTGTTCATCACAGATGAACACGCCGACACTGAATATCGACACGAGAATTGATAGATTTCTTAACTATGCCGGGCATTGATTATCTGATCTCTCTAGATATATGTTGACCTCACCGAATCGATATGTTTGCAAAGTTTGATTACGATCATTTCTTTCTTTCAACAAGAACGTGAAGCTGATGTTCATATCGACAAATCTGCCACAGAACACAGTTAAATGCCAAGAATAAGATAAAGGATGTGCGTTCTGATATTGTTTTGGTATTTTGAAATGTTGAACGAGTGTGACGGGCATTGTTTTTACAACGAACGAGCATCGGCCAATATTCCAAGAGATGCTGGCAAATGTTTCTATATCTTCCTCGATAAAACAATATGTGAGAGGTTCTGTCCATTCGTTGTCTATCTGTTCTTCAATAAGGGACACATTAATACTCATAAGACTAATGCTATCGGATCGTTCAGGGTGTGGGTGTGGGTGTGGGTGGGTGTGGGGTGTGGATGTGGGTGTGGGTGGGTGTGGGTGTGTGGGTGTGTTGGTGGGTGTGGGTATGGGTGGGTGTGTGGTGTGAGTGTGGGTATGGGTGGGGTGTGAGCGTGGATGTGTGGGTGTGGTTGTGGTTGTGGGTGTGTAAGTGTGGGCGTGTGTGTGCGGATGTGGGTGAGGGTGTAGGGTGTGTGGTGTGATTGTAGAGAGATGAACCCACACCCGCACCCACACCCGCACCCGCACCCATACCCACACCCACACCCCACCCACACCCACACCCGCCCACACCCACCCACACTCACACCCCACCCACACCCACACCCACACCCCACACCACCCACCCACACCACCTACCCACACCCTTCTACTTTTCTTTTAGTTTCCATTATGGATCAGTTTAAACGAAGTAGCAGGATAGTTTACTCCAAACAAAATGAGTTATCTGGAGTTTTTAGACTAGTGTGAACAAGGATCGATGGAGCATTCTCAAAAAAATGGACTAGTCTTAACGTGTGCAGATGACACTTCAAACTAGTCAAGTTTCTGTTCTCCGACGGGTGTCAAATTGCCTAGCAGATGGATGAGCATCATTCTGCTATTTGGACGGTTAAAACTGCCGTTAGTCTATCGATATGCTATAGTCTGCCCTTATGTTGCCCGTCAGATATCGAATACTGTCGGGTCAAATGTTCAAATCTACTTTTCGTCTTCTTTTTTTCTTATTTTTCTGTTTTGCTGACTAGTTTGGACGCAGTTAACGGACAAAACGGACTAGACATGACGGGTATTGCAAACATTTCGGACTAGTCATTTTGACCAGCTTCACTTATTTTCTTGATCACCTGGGCAGAGTGGGTTTATATTTATGTGTGCACGTGTGCAGTCACTTGTTGATAAAAAAGAAGCAGTTCACATAAAGCGATCATACGACTCTGTAATTTATCACATTTGGAATAAAAAGAAACGCAACATCTTTCTCAAAAGTATAAAAAATCCATGAACTGCACAATCAACTTTATTTTATCCCTCATAAAATAAAAACAAAGTCGAAAAAAATAACGTTACACGACAAAAAATAAAAATAATATGGCATCATTCAGTGATTTACTAGGAGCTCCAATCATCTCATATACCTCATTGCGTGTTGGTAAGTTTGAATATTGTTGTTTTCGTTCTAAATTTCGTTTTGAATGAAAGATAATCTTCACCCTGATGTTAATGAGGCTATGTTATTCGACAAATTTACAACTGTTGGTCCAGTTTCATCAATTCGAGTCTTTCGTGATATAATTACACGACGATCACTTGGCTATGCTGAAGTCAATTTTCAACAAGCAGCTGATGGTATGTCAGTTTACTAACTATTGCAATAGGACGATATGTGATTGAATGAAATGAGAAAAAGAATAAAAAACGATTGTTCGCTTTTTATTTATATTCGAGTTATATAGGATATTACCAAAATCCAGTAGAATTGCTTTTGATAAAAGATATTCTTCCATAAATAAAAAATTCTATCGTTTCAGCTGAATATGCATTCGATACAATGAATTTTGATTTACTTCATGGTCGTCCATTACATATTATGCGGTGTCAACGTGATTCAGCATTACGTAAATCGGATGTTACCAAAGTTTTTATTGAAAATTTAGATGAAAGAATTGATGATAAATTACTTTATGATACATTTTCGGCTTTTGGCAATGTCTTATCATGCAAAGTAAATTTATTTATCTGTTATATAAACTAATTTTTTATAATTATTTTCATTTGATTTTATTAATAGATCATGATAGAAAAAAATAATTAATCAAAAGGTTATGGTTTCGTTCATTTCGAAACACAAGATGCAGCAGATAATGCTATTAAAAAAGTCAATGGTATGTCATGAGCTGACAAAAAAGTTCATGTTAGTCGTTTGATGTCATCTAATCAACAAGTCGACGTTGATGGAGCACGTCAATTGACGAATATATTTATTAATAATTTCGGTGATCAATTAGATGAAGAAAAATTACGTGAGATTTTATCAAAACATGGAAAAGTTTTAAGTTGTAAAGTAAACTATCTGATTGTTTTTCGTTTTTGTAATCGGAAATAATCAACCTAATCCTTTTTTTAGATTGAATATGATGAAAATGGACATTCAAAAGGTTTTGGTTTTTGTAGTTTTGAAAATCCAAAAAAAAAATGAAGAAGTAAAATGAAGAAAAAGAAAACAATATGAAATTAAAAGAAAAAAACATGATTTATTTTTCTAGGCTGTTCAAAATTTAAATGGATATTCAATTGGGGATAAACAACTTTGGGTTGGCCGTTTTCAAACGAAAAGTGAACAATTATCGAACATAACGCGTAAAAAAGATTTACAACGACAGGAACGTATGAATGAATATCAAAATGTTAATTTATACAATTTATACATTAGCAATTTGGATGATACTATTGATGATGAACGATTAAAAAACGAATTTTCAAAATTTGGAACAATAACTAGTGCTAAAGTAACTTCATATTCTTCTTCTATAGATGTTTTTTAGAATTATATTCGCTTTTTCTATTATTTAGGTTATGGCAGAAAATGGTCGATCAAAAGGTTTTGGTTTCGTTTCTTTTAGTACAACGGATGAAGCAGCAAAAGCTATTACTGAAATGAATGGTTCTTTTGTCGGTTCTAAACCACTTTATGTTGCATTAGCTCAAAGAAAAAAAGAACGTCGTATGCATTTAACTAATCATCATATGCAATATATTGCAACAGCACATGTATCACCACAAATGCAATTACCATTTTCAAATGGAATGTGTCTTATGATGCCATATTTATTAACACCAATGGACCCATCACAACCATGTAACTTCTATCCATCAACAGCAATGCCAATTTATCAATTCGCACAACCATGTTGGTCATCACCTGTAACTACCACCGATGCTATGAGATCACAAACAAGTACTCAAATGATTGGTATACAAATCTCACCATCAGCTATGACTGATGTTGGATGTCGATCAACAATGCCAATGGGAATTCGACCAACATCAAAATCAGGACAAATGATGGCTGACACTTCTGTTCGACCATGTGTTGGAGTACAATCACAACAAGCAGCAGCTTATACTCGTACAGCACGAAATATGCCACCTAATGTATGTATTCAAATTGAATAAAATAATAATAATAATTTTGTTTTTAGAATCCAACTGGATTTTCAGATTCAATTGTAGTTACTGAACAAAAACCATTAACATTAGCTGCTCTTGCTAATGCAACACCATTAGAGCAAAAACAAATGTTAGGTGAACGTTTATTTCCATTAATTCAACAAATTCAACTAGAATTAGTTGGTAAAATAACTGGTATGCTTCTTGAAATTGATAATACTGAACTTCTTCATATGCTCGAATCAAGTGAATTACTTAAAGCTAAAGTATGTTTATTCAACTTTAAAATAAATTATTTTATTTTTATTTTATATTAGGTTGAACAAGCTATTGCCATACTTCAAACATATCAAGCCAAACAAGCAGCAACTAATTCAGCTGCTCAACAAAATCAAATATCATCATTTAAAAAAATAAAAATAAAACAAAATCCAAGCAAATGCATTGGCACATATACATACACATAGATTGCCTTTTGTTTTTTTTTCTTCTGCGTCGTTTACTATTGTTCATTTCTGTTATTAAATATGAAAAACATAGCTCGCTACAAAATCATTATTAAATATAAAGAAATTTACCAAAAACACTCATGCTTTTTGTTTTTCAAATACGTTCTATTTAACGAGCAGAAAAGAGTAAAAATCAAAAAAAAAATGAAGTTCAATACAAATGACACTCAAAACATCTAATAACGTTCATACTGCTTTTCCAGAAAATGACTAGATGCTCATGGTGTAAAAAAATGCCAGATGTCGATAGATTAAGTCAATCACTATCAGAGCCCTTTTACTTTTCATATTATTTATTTGTACATATCCTTGTCTCTATTTTATTATTATGATTCCGTTTATAATGATATGAATAAATAGAGAAAAACAACTTACATGATTTCTACTTAATATTTATAAACCTTCCTATTCTATCAAAGAGCGACAGCGTTATTTCTATTGTTCTGTTGGTTGATTAGTTGATCAAATGAAAACAGTGGGTATTTTTGAGTTATACAAGTTATCATAATGCACAATATTTGTGTATAGGAGATGGAAATTAGGATATTAAATTTACTGCAAAACTGTCATTAGACTCAATGTTAATAACTCTCTCTCTCTCTTCTCTTTGTATTGGCATATCGATCCTTTTATTCCAAAAAAAGAAGTAAAAAACACAAATACATACCATAAGAACAGACAAGACAGAATAATGTATACAAACACATCAATTTGAGAAACATTTTCTTCTTCATTGATCGGATTGTTTACTTATTCATTCTATTTAAAATTATTTTCAACAAAATATGGAATCAATACATAATATTCTTGACTAATTTAGATTGAAAATGTCAGAGAAATTTCACAGTGTAATTGAAATATTTCCTGTTGAATTATGGCGAGAAATATTTGAATATTTCAATTCAAATGATTTATGGTATTCATTTCGTGGTTTAAATAGAAGAATTGATGGAATTATTGATCGAACAGTGTTATATTTAAATTTTACAAAGCGAGGTACTTATAGTTACTTTATGAAAAATATTTTATCACCAATGAAGGTTATTAATGTTCGATCATTAAAATTTACGAATTCCAATGAAATACAACATTTTTTTTCGAATTTTTCTCTTGATTCATTATTTCATCTTCGTTTATTATCTTTAAAGTTTATGTATTCTTTTAATGATAATTCATTTACATTCTGGAATCAACTTTCATCTTTGAAATATCTACAATCATTGAAAATTATATTTTGGGGCAATCAAGTCGGACCCGATAATATTATTAAAGAAAATGAATTTATTATTCGTTCAATATTTAATAAAGATTATTGTCCATTACTGAAATCTTTGACCATCAATATTGATCGTACGCAAAGCGTAATGTCATTAATTCCTTCGTTAATTCCAACAACTAAAGTAACAAATATCAAATATCTGTCGCTTGATTCATTGACATTTAATGATTTTATTAAATTACTTCCTGCTTTACAAAATGTTAAATCATTTTATATAGATAGCGAGTTATGTTTGGACAATGAATCTAATGAACCGCAACCGAATATGACAATTACAATACCATTACTGCCTAAATGTACTCGATTACATGTCGGATTATCAAACGATATAATGTTGGAACACGTTGAATATTTATTAAAACATACTCCAAACTTAAAGGATTTATTTGTATGGGGTTGGTATCATTTACTTGATGCAAAAAGATGGAAATCGTTACTATCAATGCAATGTCCGAAATTAAAAAAATTTGAATTAATATGTAGTGGCCCCACTGATGATAATGATTTTGATCAAGCAATAGAGGATTTTGAACAAAAATGTAGAAAAACACCATTTTGGCGTCAACGAAATATCTCAGTTGAATATGTAAATGGTTCAGATGATGATGATTCTGAGATTATTTTTCGATTTAATATTAAAAAAGTGAGTTTTATGTAGATATTAAAGCCATCGACACATTAGAAGACCCGGGGTCTTCTATTGTCTTATTGTTCATAAGTTAAAAGGGAGTCTTCTATTATGTCCCTAAGAAAACTCATATTTTTTGGCAATCCCACGAACAAATCTTAGTTTCACTTGATTTTTGTCCAATATATCGTTAGCAAATGAGTTCGTTTCACTTATTTCACATATGTAGAATAAGAAAGAAACAGATATTATCCTGTGAAAAAAGGAAGACCATCGTTGGTGAGAAGTGTTCTTAGAACAATACAATCAACGTAGCCTACCATCTTGGTATGATATCCCATATCGTTCTTTTTTCTCTGGGCTAAGACCTATCACTGGCAACATTTTACCTTCTCAATAACTAAACAAATGTAAAAAAGAAAATTAATCTTTTTTATCAAACTCATTTTATTCAGTTGCTTATTTAGAGATTTGAGTAGTATAGATGGATTCTATTCATAGTGAATTCTGATGCTAGCAGAGTTATTAATCTCAAGCTAACTTCAATGAATACGATTGTCTTGTGAAGAAACCATCTACAGAAAATCAGCAGATGAATACACACACACTGTCTTTTCTTTTGCGTCTATTTTAAAAATGTCATTGTATTTTATTAAAAAAAAAAAGAAATGCGTTCTCAAACTCAAAAGAAATACTCACATGTCAAATGTCGACATATATACAGTCTGCACAAAAATTCTGGGACACTCAAGAATGGCTCTTCGAAATTTCATCTTTCATGTGAAATAAACTTTATATATATTTATTAGTATAGTTACTGGTTAAACTTTCGTACCTTACTCTACAGACGCGAAACTTCTAGTTTTAATATTATATGAAAGTTTAACCAGTAACTGTACTTAAAATATATACCCCTGGAAAGTAAAAGCTGGACATGGCATTTCGAATCTGTTGACACTCGAGAAGGACATTATGGAAAACGTAATTATACCATTTGATAGCCCTTGGAATTCTCTATCACCCTGTCTATTTTTGTTTTCGTTTACAGTTAAACATTACCAAAATAAATTGAGTGCAATGAAGGTACCTTTATGTCCAGATTCTCACAGACTGGATTTTTTCTCTGCCATCAAAATTAGTCTTTCACATTTTTTTATCACTATGGTGTTATCTTTTTTAAAAGTAATTATACATTCTGATAGAGCTTGAAATTCTCTATCAGCCCATATATTTATCTATTGCCTTATATTTGTTTATTGAAAAATAATTTGAATAGAATGAACGGTCCCTCAATTGACAAGTATGAAAAATCTGCAGTTTTTCTCGCTACTTAAATTCAAGACAATATATTAATATATAGGATGATAGAGAATTTCAAGCTCTATCAGAATGTAAAATTTTTTTTTGGAAAAAGTTATTCCTATACGAAAATAATTTGCGAAAGAAACTAAAAAAACAACGAAAAAATGCGGATTTTGTATACTTGTCAAATGAGGAGGCGTTCATTGTATTCAAATTATTTTTCAGCAAATAAATATAAAGCAATAGATAAATATATGGGCTGATAGAGAATTTCAAGCTCTATCAGAATATATAATTACTTTTTTGGAAATGTATTTCTATAGCTGGAGAACTAGTTGAGGAGACAAAATCCAATCTGTGGGAATCTGGACATAAGGGTATCTTCATTTCACTCAATTTATTTTGGTAATGTTTAACTGTAAACGAAAACAAAAATAGACAGAGTGATAGAGAATTCCAAGGGCTATCAAATGGTATAATTAAGTTTTCCAAAATGTCCTTCTCGAGCGTCAATAGATTCGAAATACCATGTCCAGCTTTTACTTTCCAGGGGTATATATAAAGTTTGTTTCAAATGGAGTATAAAATTTTGCAGAGCCGTTCTTGAATGTGCCAGAATTTTTTGCGTAGACTGTATATGAAGTTATGTTTTCTTCAATTATGAAAGACTGTTTTGTGGTGAAAACGTTTCTGATTGTCTAGAAGAAAGTCAAAAATGAAGAGACCTTTTAATTAATACAACGCGGCATTTTATCGAATCTGTTGCTATTATACAAAGACCCTTCATGTGTTACATGCACGAACGGGCACTGCGTTTATTAGATCCCAAGGCCATGGAAACTTGTTTTTCATGTATAGAGCCTGAAGAATGTTTTCAAAGTAAGCTGCAAATGAGTACTAGAATGACTCCATGATATATTTTTACAAAGAAACGCAATCTTTAATAGATTGTTGTTTCCTATTAGCTGCTTCTCAGGGTTTTACTCATTCGATAAATACTAAACAAGTCAATAAACTCTGAAAATTATTTCAAAATATTGATTTTTTTAAGGGGCTCTTCTAATATGTCTTTTGCGTCATTTATTCAAGGGGGGGGGGGGGGAGGGGGGTCTTCTAATGTGTCGATGGCTTTAACTGATTTTCTGCACTAAGAACTATCCTAAAAAATATCAGTAAAAGAAAGGAAATAATTTCTATTTGAAATGAAAAAATATTTAAGATAGAATATTTTTGTGACAATATGTATGAGTTCTGCATTTTGGTATATGAAGGACTGCACTGATCATTTTTTCTTTTCATTTTAGTCAAAACAACGAATCAAATAGAACTGAACGATCAAATAGATTGTACTTTGTTAGTGAACGTATTTTTTTCACTTAAAGTTTTCTCTTGTATTGTTTTTGTTACAAGTTTATTTTTGTTTCTTGTTTTTCTATGTAAGAGGCATATGAATAAACATAGTTATTGCATTTTGTCAAGTATATTTGTCTGATGTGGAAAAATCGATTTTAGTGTAGAAATTTCTCATAATGAATGAGTTTTTTGGTAAGATTATACAGGATTAGGTAGGATTCTATGACTAAATTTTTTTAGCTTTTCTACCGTTTAAAAGTACTAATGTTCTGGAAAGTAGTGAGTGTCAACTTTGTTTTACAAAGTACCACCACATAATTTAGAGAAACTACTTGAAGGTTCTAACTGATATTCATTTATCTTGTATCTAAGTGAAGATCTTTATTTGAAAAAACTTTTACTCTTTTACTATAAATTTCTCCACTATTTTTCGTATTGACTAATTGTTGCATCGACTAATTTTGGCGTTGATCAATTCTCATAGTGATGGATTTCCATTTTTCTAGATTTTTCTTCGTTGCAGCAGTACCAGTACTTTCAGACATGGAGTTCGTTGAAATGGCATTTCATTTGTACTGTTTAGTTGTTTCGTTTAGACCTACACAGATCGGTGAGGTATTGTTGAAAACACCCTGATCTTTGAGTAATCTTTTGCCCATCCTTAATAGAAAGCTGTATCTTCACACAAGAGGAAAATTGAGTCTACTTCGGACATTTTGTGTATGCGTGGAACAGTTTGTTGTCCAAGTGAACTCGAGATAATAATACATGCCTTTTGATTCTTGATTCCTGGCAGAAAAGACAAGTATTGCTCAGTATCTGTGAATGTTTCGATGTTATTAATTCTAAGTGATATATAACTCGCTCTGACTAGTAAAAATCGATTTTCAAGCAAAAAAATGCATGTTCGCCTGCTATGCGAAAGTTGCCTACTGTGTACCGTTTAGTTCGCGTTACGATTGCAAGATAATTGTAGCTTTTCACGATAATATAATATATTTATTTTGACTTCTATCCTGGTAGTAGTGTTTATATGCTAAGTTACACATCTAGTGATTTCTTTCGCGTACGAATGATGAATATTACCGAACGAAACTAACTTACATGATTGAACTGAACACCGACTACATATGTAAGAAAGAGAAAAATAATATACAATGGTGTGCTTTTTGTGTACTCAAAAAGTGAGTACACTCTAGAATCGGTCAGTGTGTCCGGCCGTCCGGCCGTCCGGCCGGCCGGCCGTCCGTTTACACGATAACTTTTGAAAAAAGAGTCAGATCGCGATGAAATTTTCTACACAGTTCAGTCTTGACAATATCTCGGTCGAGTTCGAAGATGAGAAGGATCCGTCAAGAAATGGCTGAGTTATCGAAAAAATTGTGATTTTTGACCAGACCATCCCTGAGGGGGGGTACGGGGGTTTTTCGAAAAAAAATTTTTTGCTCATAATTATTCACAAAATACATAAATCGACTCAGTTTTTAACGCTGATTCTGAATCTGATATTAGTTTTGAACCGAATCATAGTTTTGTGTACTCAAAAAGTGAGTCCACTATAGAATAGTCAGTGTGTCCGTCCGTCTGGTTGGCTGTTTACATGATAACTTTTGACAGCAGGATCAGATTGCGATGAAACTTTCTACACGCCTTAGTCTTGGCAATATCTCGGTCGAGTTCGAAGATGAGAAGAACCGGCCGAGCCGTTCCTGAGTTATTGCAAAAATATCCATTTTTTCCCTATAGCTTTCTGTGGAAAAAAGGACCCATCGCGACTTTCGTAAGACTTTTCCTATCATAGTCAATTAAAACCCCAACTATTATATACCATTCGATAGAGAATTTCAAGAACTACAAAATGATATATAAAACATAAAGAAACAAGAAGGTTGACTTACCAATGACAAGGATAATTAAAGAGAACTAGGTTATATTTTGGTCTACGATCTAATTGATCCACAAATAGAGCTTTATCTTCCGGTCACACTGATGATACTTCGAGGTTTTCAGATATGGAGAACTCGAATGTGTACTGCACTTCCATCGAAATACTATTAGTTGTGCAGTGACCAATAGAAATGAAGTTATAGTAAAAACGACTTTCTTAGGGTAAATCAGGGGAAAGAGTTCAAACTTGAGCTGTATTCGGTCCCATGTCCTATTGGTTTGGCAACGCGCAATAGAAATCAACATTTTAAATGGTAGATTTCACAGTATAATTTTGATATTCAGACAGTCTAGGATGATTGATTTGTATGATTCACTTTTTGAAGTACACATAACTCTCGGATTTAAATCCGAAGTTTCCGCATTTATTTAGATTTGTTTTTGTTCACTATTTCGTTTGAAAACAATTTTACATGAACGACGCAAAA